TGGTCATATTTTTTTTTTTCTCTCCTTTTTGGAGCGGGATGAGTGGGATGATGGCTCCAACGGTTCATCTCATTCGGCCGGGCGCGCGTCTAATTGCTTGAAAGCTACGGATCCATGGGGGGGGGCATAATGCATACATATTATTGCTGAGGGTACCCATGTCGGTGATGCTCTGGCCTCTTTCAAATACTCCAACCAAATGGACGAATCCGATATGTCAGATGCATGATAACGGATGCATGTGGCTTTGATTTGGGAATTAACTGGCTGGGACTTTTCTTTCTTTTCGGTACAATAACATCAGTGGTACCGTAGCATAACTATCTATGGCCGCCTAAAGGCCGCGCACCAAGGTTTGTCCCTACATACTAAGTATAATTGCACGCCACATCGGTGTGCTCGGATTTATTCGATTGGCGACATCTATGACTTGGGAGTGTAGCACAACCCCAAACGGCTCTGGTTTGACTCGGGTTTCATGATCATGCTGGCGTGTCAATGTCCAGGGTCGCGGAGACCGGGAGATGGTTCTAGTACTTTCTACATATTGCTGAAAAGTGGCCCCATCCAGCCTCCAGCCTTACATGGGGTAAATGCACCAGGTTACTTTGAGCAAGTGACACCGTGTGGCCACAACCCGTATTGCTTGGAAATGCCTTCATTGTCTTCACCGGCCACCGATGTTGGTATGTCAGGAGACGCAAGCCGTGAGACAACAAAGCATCGGCAGGGACTTCGCCACTCATCATCGTTTCCGCTCCTACCTGGTTGGGAAGCCATAGCGATCAAGGATTTTTAATTATCTATTTGCCCCCTGACTCATGCTGCGGCATGGGAGAATATAGGACATGAGGTCACCACTGACGTGGCTCTATTATATTTATAGTAAGCGGTCATTGCGAATGATATCGACAACATGCATAGTCATAAAAGTCTCCCATCACAGCAGCCAAGAAAGCCAGTGTGAAGCCAGAAATGCGCAAATCCAAGGTGAATTCGCGCTCACTCCATTGCAACCACATCTATAAATACACAGGAGGCAAGGCGTAGCAATATCTCTCGCGCTCCTTCCCCAGAATCCGTCACCTTACTCCTCCTTGACACCACCCCTCCAGTTCTTCTCCGCGTTCTCAACGGAGGCCTTGTCGCTCTTGATCTGGCCCTGGTTCAGGAAGCTGTTGTTGGCCTTGAAGGGGCGCTGGAGGTCACCGGTGGCAGGCTTGCCGAAGACGTGGATCTTGACCAGGTTCGACTCGAAGGCACCCTTGAGAGGGATGATGGACTGGATCAGGAGAGGGTTGGTGTACTTGAAGTAAAGGTGCATCACACCCATCATACCCACGCCCATCAGCTGGCTCCTCATCAGCTGGCGCAGCTGTCCCTTGTCGTACTCCATGTTGGTAGTGGTGACCGGCTTGGGCTCCTCACCGCTACCCATAGGAGAAGGCTCCACGTATTTCAGGGTAGTCAGATCTGATCATAGAGTATTAGCGGACTGTAGCTTAATGAAGACTGAATAGAAAGCATACCATTCTTTTTGTTGATCTTCGACTGAGTGTACAGATACACTCCCAGAATGATCACATTGGACAGGATGTACATGCCACGGACCAGCATAAGGACATCAGGGTCCTCGAAGGGAACCTTCTTCGCCAGCTGCATCATCACCACGATGATGGCCAGGTTGGTACTGCAAGACAGGCGACATGTCAGTATTATTCCCCAAGTAGCATCATGACATGGCAGACCATGGTCGTTTGAGTCGCGTGCAGAATAACGCAGGAATCACTTACACTTGAGGAGACACCATCTTGCCGGTAGTACTGGGACTAGGGAGCCTTGAGAAGTGAGGAGCAGCACCCGATGATGTGAAACTGGGGAGGATGGGGAACGCGTGCGCAAGGACAGAAACTTCGAACTGCGGAACTGGAGCCCCGGGGAAGTCGGACAGCTGTCCAGATAGTGAGTATCACGTGCTTGCTCTTGACCTCTCTTGGCTTAGCCGTATCAGTGTAAGGCGTAAGGGAAGATAGCGGCGATAAGCAAGTGATAAGCAGAATCTTTACCTGATTCGGAGGTTCAAGGCCTACTGCAGCCTGAGGCATACACTCCCCCGGACAAGGCAAAAGGCACAGATCACCTGGTTGCTTAGATAATCCGCTGAGCAACTATCATGGTCTGCACACTCTCCTGCCAACCTCTGTTATATCGCTACGAACGTGTGCAAACCCCCCACGTTACGGTTTAAGAGTCTCTATGTCCTCTCTCCGCCGATTAGGCCCACTGGTGCAAGTATATTGATGCAATTATATTTGCTCACAAGTGTGGTATGTCTGGCATTTGGGGATTCGACTACTGAGTGACTCTACCCAGCAATGGCGTGGACGCTCAGCCCCAGCTCCATGCGCCCGATAAAGCGAGGCCAACGGTGCTTTGGCTGAAAGTCTTTCTCGGGATTATGACAAGTTACAAGGACTTGAAGCTTGTACATCGCTGCCTTTGCAACGGCGACCAACAACCACCTCGCCCGTTATGACAGCTCCGTGGATGGAAGCTGAGCAGGTTTCCAGAAATGGACTAGCGCCACTCGACGGTCGACGCCCGTCTTTAGCGACCAGGATGGCTCTGACATTTCTGACTCCTTCATCCATCAACAACGCGCGTGCTTGTGCTGCATCGGATCGCACCAACATCCACCATCACGTTCTACCACTTCCAATACTCGACTGACGCGACATTTTCGCCCCTGCGGCCCCAAATCTCGACGCTTTTGCAAAATGCCTGGTGGAAAGGGAAAGTCTATCGGTGGAAAGGCCGGCTCCAAGGACTCTGCGGGGAAGAGCCAGAAATCCCACAGCGCAAAGGCTGGTCTGCAGGTCCGTATTCGCCCTTTTTTTCTCCCTGCAGGCATATGACATTTGATCCATCCCATGGCGTCTGGCGGCGACATACCACTGAACCCGTTATGGCTTGGAATTTTGCTTTTTGCCTCCTTTGCCCCTCGCGATCGCCTTTATGTTCGCAAAAGCACGCGTATAGCTTTCTTATATCGAACATAATCCCTTCAAAAGCTATATCACACCGGCTTGTCGCGGTTCAGGCGACTGGGTTGAGAGGGGTGGCGGTCACGATCCCTCCCATATCCACCTTCACATCAAAGCTTCACTTCACACATTCATGCCTATCTACTATCATCAGTCCCGGTCGCTGACAGTATCCTTCAACCACAGTTCCCTTGCGGTCGTGTTAAGCGCTTTTTGAAGAATAACACCCAGAACAAGATGCGCGTTGGCGCCAAAGGTACGACCCTTTTATCCAAGCCTACAGAAGGCGCACCTTCCTTTGTCTTCTCTTTCAGCCATGCTGACAAATCCCGATCGCAGCCGCCGTGTATGTCACCGCTGTTCTCGAATATCTGACTGCGGAAGTCCTCGAATTGGCCGGAAACGCTGCCAAGGATCTCAAAGTCAAGCGTATCACCCCGCGTCATCTGCAGCTCGCCATCCGTGGTGATGAGGAGTTGGATACCCTGATCCGCGCCACTATTGCCTTCGGAGGTGTTCTGCCGCGCATCAACCGCGCGCTCCTGCTGAAGGTGGAGCAAAAGAAGAAGAGCAAGACCGAGGCTTAAATGATGGTGGATACCCGACGAACTCCGGCGTTTGGTGATTGAATGATCGTTAAAGGGAAAAAAGCTAGGAACGGGTTCTTTATTGTGATCATGATGCTACTTCCACCCCCTCTGCAAAATCACGCCCGAACAGGGAGGCAAGGAAATCAGGTCACGTCCTTCTGACGAACACAAAAGCCCACCTTTTATTCTCGTGACGCTGTGAAGCTCGAGATGATTATTTTCCAAGTTCTTCCTTGCTTCCCCCCATCTTTCATTTTACTATTATTATTTTATCTCCCCTGACAGCTTGATGTCTTTTGTGTGTATTCCGTGTTTCATGTCAAATTTTCCAAGGGCGCTGTAATGGGAAAAAGGGGATATGTTTCGGTAGTGGGAAAGTTATTATTATTTATTTATTTATTTTCCATGACCTTTCTTTTCTTATCATTTTTTACCCCTTTATGTTTCTGTACTCTCTAATTTTTCTCTAATATCAACGGGTCTGTACGAGTCTACCTTATTCACCGCCTTCTATTTTCTTCTTTTCTTCCTTCTATGTGACTGACCCATTCATTCATTCCTGCCCTGCTGATACTCAAAAGAAATGGGTGGGTGTGATATACTAGGAGTCGTACTACATGTGTATGGTGTGAATAGATCCTAACTGCCTTAGTAACTGAATGAATACTTGAACCAGCATGTATGAAATGACCACTAGTACCACACATAGTACGTATATATTCACGCCTGATATCATATCACTAGTTGAGTTGATAAGTAGTTTCAGAGTGATCTACATACATATATTGAAACGCTACTTGTTACTAGTAGTACTACTACTAATTGAACCGAAACACGGATGCGATTGAGCATTGGAAGTGAATGAATGACGTCTCTATACCTAGTACTATAACTATGCTATACTACAGTCTAGTAAGTCCCGAAGCGATCATGATGGAAAACAACAACTGAAATGATGAATCAAGCTCTGTGAGGGTCTGAAGGAGAGAAAAGGGGATGGAGAGAGTCAACAATGTATATAAATACAGAAAAACAACAGCTAGTAAGTGGAAGGGAGGTATGGCAATCTGAATGGCAAGGTAGATAAGGGAAGAGGGTGATGAGCCCACCTAATGGCAAGGGAAATATAATCCGGCCAGACCGCCGTCGGGAAAAGGGATAAATCACGAGACGTCATCAAGTCGGACAATATTGCAAGAGTTGTCATTTGTCCACCTAGATAGTTGCCTGGGCATTCTCATCCCTAGAAAAAATACCCACAGGCAAAACTCTCCCCCTCCAAGAAGCTGCAAGGAATGCAAATACCCGCCCATTCAATTCGCCACTGTATCTCCCCTAACGCACGCCATGCAAGTCATCAAGTTTTTTGAATTACACCTGCAGGTCAGGGAATTGAAAAATTGTAAAGAGAATGAATGACCCGTCCTCGGCAACAGCCACATTGCATACGATGTGGTATGCCGACAACGTTCCGTCAATTCCTCCACTCTAACCCACTATCACAGGGGCTCCATAAAAAACATGATTAGAGGAGATGAGAGAACAAAAGCACATTGGACACGTCTGACAGAGAAATAAAAACATTAAATGATGCAAATTGCCCCATATACAAAGTGACAAACAAGTAGATAGAAGGAGATAAGTAAAAGGTTAAATGCGAATGCTGGTGAGTCATTTCTCTTGCCATGGGCACACAAAGACATCCGAATCCCGTTTTGTTGTCGTCCTTCGTAGCCATCCAGGTGTTGATGATTGGTTTTATATTGCTTTCCGCCGACACAATTTGTAGAAGGTAAAAAGTAAGAGTAAAAGAAAAAAGTATAGATAAAAAAAAAATGTTCCTGCATGCAAGGCGCCCGCGTCTCAAATAGTCCACAGCTTTCTTTTTGGGGAGGTCTTTATTTTCCGCGAAACAAGGAGAAAAGCATAAAAAGGTTGCGTTCAAACAGCGTGCCTGCTGGGCTGCCCCAAAATAACGTCTAAACTTGGCTAGATCAGAGAAATATTCTTTTGGTTCTCTCGGTTGAGTGTCATCTCGTCATCCCTCATCGAATCGTAAGCCAATAATCGCAGAACAGGATCAGGCCTCGTGATATAAGAGTCGTATGCATCTTGCGGCAAAGCAATCTAACAAGTTTCGTCGTCTTCGTCTTCCCATTAAAGTGTTTACTCCACAATAATCTCTACACCAGAGCTGGTGCGTAACTCGTCGCTTCCGCGCGATTGGTGTCCGTTCTGGCGTCGAAATCCTGGACCTTTCTCGGGCATCGGGCCTCTCGGCTGCCTAATGGGCATGCGCTCCTGTGACTGACCGTCAAATCCAACTCCGATGGATCGGTTACTACCGATGGGACCAGCGCTAGAGGGCTGACTTTCTGGCTGCTCCCAAGAGAACATACCCCGCAATCTCCTCGGGCTCGCATTCGGCCCACCAATTCCAGTGCCCAGAGAGAGGCTACTGAGGCTGTTAACCAACAGACTGTCGTCGCGCTGCATACCGAGGGAGGAACCGGATGGCGCGGACGTAAGCGTAGGGGTGTTGGAAGTGCCGCTGGTGGCACCATCGTAATGTTGCAGGCGCGCTCCGTTAGACTGCAGCGCTGCAGGGAAGCTGGCAGAAGAGGGGACGGGGGATGGCGTGTAGGAGCGTAGGTCTGCAAACGACTTGGCGGCTCGAAGGTTCTGCGTGTTGCCAAAGTTGCCAGGGGAGTCCAAGACTCCCAGGAAGCCAGCAGAAGGCTGACCGCGCAAAGTGTTAAAATGAGTGGGTCCGTCGTTGCGAGACTCACTGAAATCAATGGTTGCGGCGCGGTTCAGTCCACGGCGCGCTGTCTCCGCCGGTTGGACAGCGGCAGGGATGGACGACAAGGGAGGGCTAACGTTGGTGCCAGGAGCGACCTTGAAAACATGCACCTGCCGCTGATCACCTGATCCCCGAGACGCATGGCCTAGGCCCATGTTGTGAGCAAGTGTATGCACGGTGCGGCGCTGGACAGGAGAAAGGTTGGACGGGAACACGAGGGTATCACGCGCCGTATCTTCCTTGAAGAGAAGAAGCTGCGAGTAGTACGAAAGCGTTGTGCTATCGTTGAGGTCGACCTCTGTAGATACGGGGGATGGGTTAGCGACTTGCAGAAAAGAGCACAAGGGTGTCAAGCCACTTACCCAACTTTTGGCCACGCTGGGAGACGGGGGACGGGGAGGTAGCGGGAAGGTGCGAGGTAAGAGACGACATGGAACTCTGAGTCTGGAGCTGCGAGGTCGCCATGGGGCGATGCTGCTCTTCCAGCTGACCACGACGCTCGCGCTTCTCACGCTCAATCCGCTCCCGCTCCTGAAGCGGCAGCATCTTCTTGTATTCAACCCGCAGTTTCCGACCCTGGAGCTCGAAATGGTTGAGGACCTCGATGACGGTTGCGGTCTCTTCAGCAGAAGTGAAGTTGGCGAAAGCCAATCCCCGGAAGACGCCGTTGTCGAAGTGGTAGTTGAAGGCGTAAGGCAGCGGCAAGTTGAGCTCAGTCATGAGCTGCACCAGCTGCTCCTTCTTCACCGCAAAAGGAATGTTCTTGATGACAATGGCGGTGGGAATCAATTCATCCTCCGCTTCCGACGGACCACCAGAGGCTTCCGGGCGCATCGCGCTGCTTTGGAGGGGACCGGGACCGAGGTTGGAGAAGGCGCTGGGGATGCCAGGCTGCTGATCAAGCCATGTCTACTCGTCAGTCAGCAACGCCCAATTCCATCAAACACATTCCACCCACGCAATTGAATACATACCGTTGGCAAGCCCGCCCTGCCAGTGCGCGAAGTTGTCTTGAGGCTGGTCGAAGCCGACCGAATGCCTCCAAGAGCTTGCGCATTGGCAAAGCCGTTGGGGTTCCAGGTCTGGGAGCCCGCCAGATCGTAGGCGTAGGAGTTGTTGTGCAGCGATGAGTTCAGGCGCTCCAGCCGACCGGTGTCGTAACGAGCCATGTCGTCATACAGGTTCACGGGCATAGGGCCATACGCGTCAAACTGACGAGAGGGTTGACGGTGCAGCGGCTGCTGGTGGCGTTGGGAGCCAGGAGAACGCGCCGCGGAGTTATCGTGGTACATGTCCTGGGCTTGTTGATAGCTCATGGCGGCGAAAAGATTGCAGAATCCCTAGAAGCAACCAAACCGAGGAATGTGGGCACTGAGATCCACCACACAACAAACCCTTTTCAATAGATCGCAACTGTTGTGTCTGGCGAAACTACTCAAACATAGGAGCGACCGCACAGGCGCTGGACAGTAGCGGAGAGGAGGATGTCAAACCACGCTTGGTTTGGGGGTGTTTGCAAGGTCGAGAGGATCGTAGCAAAACAGGGTCAACTTTCCGAGGGGGAGGAGGGAATGACCGATCGTTGGTTGACTGCGGAGAGGAAAAGCGCGGTGGAAGCGACAAAAACCGAAGAAAAACAAGCAAAATCGCTCACAGCTGCTGAAATAATTCTCTCGTGACTATTGGGTCATCAATGGCCGTCGTATCCTTTAGCATGAAAATGTTAGGAACTATTTTTCCTTTCGTTTTTGCTTTTTCTTTTTTTTATGTTTGTCTTTCGCTTCTCAAGACCCCTAGGGGCATCAGAAGAGGGCAGGGGAGGAAGAACTCGGGAAAAAGAAAATGAGGGTGCGGAAAAAATCGAAGTAGCAAGAGAAGGAAGAAATGGAAAATAAACGAGGCTTTAACACGGGAAGAGGAAGATAAGGCAAAAAAAGAAAACGAGCTGCCACTACCTGGGAAGGATAAGCAGTGCCCAAGGCTTTTTGATGGCCGAACAGAGAGAGAGAGAGAGGGAGGGAGGGAGGGAGAGAGAATTGGGAGGAGGGAGGGGGAAGGGAAGGAAAACGAGGAACGAGCAAGTAGCAGGAGGTGGTCCAGGAGGAAGAGGAACACCAAAGGAATCTCACTCTTTGGCTTGCAGTTGCTGCTTATTGCTGCTTATTGCTGCTGGTTGCTGCTGGGGGGGAAAAGGGAAGGAAAGGGAAAGGGAAAGGCACGCCCGCCAAAACGGCACGCAGAAAGAAAAGCCGGCAACACCGCGACCGCTTAGTCGGGTCCAGTCTGGTCTGGTCTTTTTTTTCTGCTCTTCCGCGAATCCACACCCCCGAGGAAGGGAGCAAGAGGGAAAGGAAAACAAAAGAAAATGAAATAAAATAATAACAAAGGATTGATGGGGATGGCTGAACGCACTCTGCTGCACTGCACTGGATAGATCGTGCGGGAAATGTGATGGAGAGAAAGCAACGAGAGAAGCGCGGCTTGCCCCCAAAGGTCAGGAACACCCGGTCTGACTCCCTAATTCCAACAATAGATGAAACTGTCAGAAGGATGTTGGAGGTGGTAAGAAAGACAATAGCCAGGGGATGTTAAATAAGGGCCACCCTACCCGAAACGGATGTTGAATGGGTAAGTAGTAGGGGGATATGGGGAGATGGGGGGGGGGAAAGAGGATGATCAACACAAATAGAGAGAACTGAAGACTGGTAGAACTTTTGGAAGGGAGGGGGGAACGAGAAACGAAACCACAGAAACCAAACACAACCAGAGAGAGACAGACAGAGACAACCAAGGTGAGAGCGAATGGGATGAAGGGATTCCCGTAATCCAGAGTCAGATGGGGGACGGGACGGCGGACGGGGAAGATCGAAGGTATCCAGTGGGATGTCCTTCGCTAGTGGGCTCTTACTTTTTTTTTTTTTTTTTTTCTTTTCCTTTTCCCTTTTTTATCCTTCTTCGTTTCTGGTGCTGCTGCAGCTTTTCTTATTTTCCTTCAATTTGTTGTGCTGCTAGCAATTCTTCCCTTTTTTCCTAGTTCTGCTTTTCGTTGCTTTTTGTGTTTGGGTTCGGATCGGTGCTTTTTTTCGATGGTGGTAGAACCTTGATCCTGATATCACCGGGTGATGAAGTCACTAGAAGACGGCCGTCGCTGATCGGAGATGTCTGCGCTTCGTGTGCCCGCCTTGACTCCTCTTTGAGCTATCTATGCCCGTTGCGCGTGTTTCTGCACAACTCGTTAAGTGGCGGGAGGCAAAAAAAGAGGAAGAGGAAAGGGAAAAAAGGCGAGTCCCGGTAGCGTTGGGAGTGGAAGAAGTGGGAACAAATCCAGAATGGAGAATCTGAGGCTTTGCCCAAAAGGGGAGTGTGATCCTGATTGGTCCAAACACACAGGCAGGTCGAATGAGTCCAACAGGAACAGGATGGATCAGGTGGAGGAACAGGGCGAACAATAGAATGAAGGATGCGGATGCAGATGCAAGAACAAGAATAAATAAAAGAAAATAAGAATAGATAACAAAAGAAGTGAAAGTGAAAAAAAAAAAAAAAGAGAGAAGAACAAAAAGCAATGCTAACTATTTGTCCAACCAAAAAAGCAGGAAGGTGGATCACCAGATGAATGAAGAGAAATCAATGGTGGTTAGTAAAGCAGTTAGCAAGAAGCTGAGAAGTGCACCCTTTGGTCAGAGTCTCGTAGGAGATTGATTGATTCAGGTTGCTTGCTGGTTCTTGTTCTTTTGGCTGCTGTGCATACAGAGGGGGACGGATGATATGACTCTTGGATAGGCAGCTGGTACTTGCCATGTACTTAAGTACCTCTACCGACAGCAGAGTGGCTGCCAGGTACCTATTCAGTATTAGTAGCAAGAATGGGTACCTTTTCCTCTCTTCTTCCTCCCTCCGGCTGCACCGCCCATCCGGTACCTTCCTCGAGCACTAATTTACCATCTATCATTTCCCTTCGTTCTAACTAGCAGTATTACAGCCGTATTTTCCTCGTTCTCCGTTCCCCCCTCCCTTTGCGATTTCCCCCCTGGACCCTCTGGTATCGCTGGTTGCCAGAGAGAATGGAAGTACGGAGGTCCAGCTAATAGAAAATTGACTCAAAGGATACTTTTCCTCCATCACCTTCCTCCCTGCTTGCTTGCCTTGATCTGAAAATAACATCACACACCCCCTGATCTAGAGCAACTATCAGTATTTCATCATCATCATGTGCACTTCTCTATTTTTCCCTTCCTTTGGGGCGTTCTCTTTGTTCCAATTCTTTCGCCTCCTCCCCTGTTATCCCCAGGTTTGCTGATCCCATTAATAAATCATCTCCTCTGGTGATTACCTCCTCCGCGTCATCGTCAACCCCTTCTCC